GATTGGTTAATAATCACGGGAAATCACGGGTAGATCTATAAAAATTAACCAATCAAACGAACTTCTGTCTATGATATAGCAGATCAGTACAAACCTCTAAAAAGGAAATGGCCAATCAGAAAACAAATTTCGGGTATTCCGGATCAGCCCGAAAAACTAATCCTAAACTTCTATTTTTACAAAATTTGATTTTGTGTTACCCGCGCAAATAAGTAAATCGGTCAGGATGGTATGGACGTGATTTTATCATACTGTTTTGCTTAATTGCCACACCCACTAAACCTGGCCGGCGTTAAGCATAATTCCGGGCAGATCTAACCCTAAATTCTAGAGGGTGTGATAATTAATCAAAACAGTATGGTACGGATTGATAAATACCAGGTATTACAGGTGTTACGAAGATCAGTATGGTACAGGCCGAATTTTACCAAATCGTACCATACTGTTTTTTGCTTAATTGTCACGCCCTCTAGAATTTAGGGTTAGATCTGTCCGGAATTATGCTTAACGCCGGCCGGGTTTTTAGTGGGTGTGACAATTAAGCAAAACAGTATGGTACGGATTGATAAAATTCGGCCCGTACCATACCGATACTGATCTGCTGTAATCCCTAAATTATGGCATTCATATAAATTTTAGTTTCAGCCTTATGTTGTAATAGTTGCGGCTCTATTTTTACTAAAACATTGATAATAAAAATGTTTTCTATATATATACTTCTATATATTTAAGTTCGGTTTTTAATTTAGGTTATATAGCATTCATTATAAGTTTTGGTTTCAATTTTGTGTTACGGCTTGCGGCTCTATTTCTACTAAAAAAATCGATGTCGAAATAGTTTCAGCACAGCTGCGCATGTATAGGCAAAAATCTGTAACTTGCCATAACTATTTCTGTAATTTATCGTAACATAATAAAGTTATGGCAAAACTGCCGTAACTCACTACAGTTATTACATATTACAGAGATAGTTACAAGTTACGACGATAGTTACGACAAGTTACAGAAGTTTCACGTGCATCTCTACTCCAAATGTCATGACACGTTAGATGATCCCTATACAATATATTTAACCGCTGAAACTATCCTAAAAGAAAAACATTTGCAAATTTGATTTACCGATTTTCAGCCAGTGGATCTCAGTTTTAACAAATTGGATTATTTTTGAATCCAGACCAAAATGGTATATCAATTTACAAGTTTCCTTTTTTTCACTCATAATATTGACTCTAACCCTAACCAGACAAGTTGAAAAAATAAGCACTATCTGCCCATTAAACTATTCAGGCACCACTAAATAAAATGTTGATGTATGATGTAATTGATCCCCCGATCACCATAGCGATAGATCGGGTTATTATTATTACCAGCCTTGGAATCCATCAAATCACAAGGAACATGATATATTGTAATGTCTAATATTTATTTTTCTATAAATATATGACCCAAAAGCTCCATATTTCACACACACCTCAATTACTACCATTACTATCGATACAAAAGAATTCTCAATTCTGGTTAATTGAGAATTATTTACTACCATTAATTTCTATATAAAAGGATTCTCGATTCTGGTTAATTGAGAATTTAAACTTATAAATTCAAATTTATTATTAACGTTAATATATTTCGAATATGATGAAATCTCTCCTTTGGCTTTTTGCTTTCTTTTGCATCGCCTATCGTTTGGTTATTAATGCATCTCCTATCGCCAATCCACCATCATCATCTACCTCCTCTCAACTTGGTTGTAAGGGTAAGAATAATTTTCGTACTATATATATATTATATTATATAATTATTTTATTTTTAATTATTAATAATATTTAATTGGTGAATTAAAGATTTTCCGATAAATTGCGTCGTGGACTCACAGTGCGGCGACGGACAAGCTTGTCGATTATCCAAGAAAGGTTCTTCTTGTGTATCTAACACAACATCTGTAGATGATCAACTTATTAAAAATGTCCAAGACCTTGGTTGTGCTGGTAAGAATTATTTTCGTACTATATATATTATATAACTATTTTATTTTATCTTATTTTTAGTTGCTAATCATACTTTTAATTGATAAATTAAAGAATTCTCAGTCGAATGCATCAATAATAAAAACTGCAGAAGCGATAAAGTTTGTACCTTATTCGCTACAGGTGCCTTTTGTATTTGTAACGATCCAAGCGGATTTAACTGCTTTTAGTAGTTAATTTTGTTCGAATTAAAGTCGGAGGGGTATTTTGATTTAAGCAAATTTAATTATTTATAGTATTCTCGTAACCAATTTATATTTGAATTAAGAGCGATGGTTTTTCTTTTCAATATAAAGTTATAATTATTGCAAAAACATAAAATAAATAAAATATAAAATCTTTTTTAAGAATTAAAATTATCAAGGGGTTTATGCTTTTCTAAATTTTAGAATGTTTAAAAGTTTACTTTTATAAACGATCAATAAATTATTTTGCTTGTATTACAGTTTTAAATCAGTTTGCAAAATCAAAACTGAGTTCGCCAGGACGGCCTCCAAAAGTACTGGTCAGATGATAAGACGCCACAACCACTGCATAATTTCTTAAAAAATGGTTGACTCGTCTAGCTCCCACATGCAACTTTATTATTGTAAAAATTTCTTAACCCAATTTACGCAACAAAGTAATATACTACTGGTTATTGAGAAGTGTCTGCGCGATGCGCTTCCCCAGCATCGCCAACAAAATTTCCTCGATCACGTGATGCGTCAAAATTAATTAGAGTTCGTTTATGTTAGGGTTTTGGTTACAGTTAGGGTTAGAGAAGGGTTGGCATATAGTAAGGAATTTTTTTGGTTAGGGTTTTTTGAAAAACGAACGTTTGTTTTGGATCTTCCTGATCGTGTTACGTTACATCAAGGCATGATTCATTATTGGATGATTTGCACGTGATCTAGAAAATTTTGTTAGTATTTTGTTGGCGATCCTGGATAGTTGTGAATTGACTCGACAAAAAAATCATTGCTCGATGATTGACCAAAAAAAATTTTGCTCAATCGATCAAAAATCAATTATATAAACTTGATCGAGTATGATCGATCAAGCATATAATTTATAAGCTCGAGTATATATAATCGATCAATTATCAGGTCAATAATTGATCGATTACCGTAATGTGCCATATAAACGACCCGGGTCTGTTACATTCCACCAATTTTCAAACCTATATTTAGACCCGGGGTCTTTTGTATGGGTGTGGGTATGATAATTGGAGGTTTATTCTATTTCTTTATTTTTTTTCTTAGTATTTTCTATTTGTATACCCGGGTCTCTTACATTTTACCAAAATTTTATCCTATATTATAGATCCGGGTCTAATTCATGGGGGATCTGATATAGGGGGATCTTTTATATGACACATTACGGTATATCTTATTTACTAAAAAAATCTAAAAATAATAATGTATTCTATAAAATTTTCTTGATCGATCAAATACAACTATCTGATCGATCAAACATTATTGATCAATAATTGACCTACTTTTGATCGAGTCTACAAAATTATGCTCGACTATTTGACTCAACTCGATCAATAATCGATCATGATATAGTGAGTCAATTCACTACTGGGTAGTTCAGCATAGCGGGCTTTCTCTGTGATTGGCTATTTTTGCAGATCATTTTTGATTGCGGCGCAGCAAGTTCGTCCAATCACAAACAGCGTAGATCATTTTAAAATTATATTATATCGTACAAATTTTATATTTATATATTTAATAATCGCTAATAAAAAATATCGTAATTATTATTTATTAATTCGCTCATAAAGAAAAATATATAATAATTATTATTTATTGATTATTTATAAAATTGTATTGTAAAAGTATGGTAATTTGTATTGTCAATTAATGATTCGAAGCAAGAATTTCTTATTTAAAAAAAAAAATTATATTTCTAATTTATAAAGAAAGACACATGCTATAAATATTCTATTAAATATAATAAATATACTATTAAATGTAATAAATATTCTATTAAATGTAATAAAAAAAAATTATGCTTCAAATTTCTTCATTATTACATATTTTTCCAACAATTCATATGCTTCTTAAATCACTCATTGCCTATTCAAAAAGAACATCTATATTATTATCTAAAAGAACATTTCCACTATCTATATTAGTATTATCGGTGGCAGTGTTGTATGTGGATGTTGTCTCATTAAAATTGCGGAAACATAGACAGTCCCAGGCAGTGTTCTATATCCTGAACAATGTCCTATGTCTGTGATGGTATTTATGTCATATAGTTTATCAAAAACCTGATTGGCTAACAAGGTTATTATTATTATAACTTTAATTGTTCAGAACAAAAAAATGTTCGTAAACATGTTCACAGATATCTCATCCCAGACTATTCGCCATTCGCATCTGTGTCTTATGACAATACTGATTAGTGGTACTAGTATTCGATTCATTTTAATTCTTCTCCATAGCTATATGGGTTGTTGCCCAGCAAAACCATGTTTAGAGTATATAAAAAATATATACTCTAAGCATGGTTTTGCTGGGCAACAACCCATATGGTTAAATTTGTTTAGAGTTTTTGACAACTTTTACAATTTTTTTCAATACTATTTATGAGATAATTAGTACAATACTTGCACTAACTTCCTAATTTAAATAAAAAGCATTCAAAGTAATAAGTATATCTACATATTAAAATATAGTCTACCTTACAATTATCTGTACAATTCTCAAAATTATAATATTTATTTTCTTGAGGTAGATATGCTATATTCTAAGCTATCACCAGTATTTTAACATCAACTTGAGCTTCAAATATTAGAAGTTCATATATTTCTGGTCACATCTTTGTATTGTATGAAATAGCCTTTGACTTGCCAAGATTCTAATAAACTTTTATAAAAAAATTTAACAAAAATAATGCTGTATATTTTTCAAGATATTCTAGCTGTTTTGCAGAATATCTAACATTATAGTTCTCAGAAAAGGTGCTTATTAAAGAATTTTTACTATGCATTTGGTCAATTATTTATACCTGTCAAATAATTTGCTTTGGAGTATTCGATTTTTGTATTTGCTATCAAAGTAAGCTATAAAAATTTTTCTAAATAATAATCATTAAAGATATAAATAAAATTTTCAAGAGCAGGGTATGGCTATATAGAGTAGTGTTAAATTGTCACTCTCAAGCGGCAGGTCTAGAGTTCGATTCTTACTAGAGGCATTTTTCGAAAAATAGTCCTATATTCCAGTAACATTTATTCAACGTTTGGTTGGGTATATCATCTATAATCTTGGTACTACTATCTCGAAATAGAAGCTTTAGGGTGATTTAAATTCAAGGAACCAGAATATTTAAAACCTATTTGGCAAGACCTGAGCTAGGAGTAGTGAAGATCTTTGACAATACTATAGAAAATCAGAACCAGAGACTGAAGAACTGGATGAACAACCTTGGGCAAGAAGGGTCTACTAACCTGGCTGCCAGAGTTGTACTAGAGGAAAAGGTCCGATGCTACAGAATTCAAAACCAAGAGAAGTAAAACCAGAAGGCACTTAGAGTCTAGATACATCAATCCTTTTGAGCTAACTGGTTTCGTAGTTGGGAGTGATCGTTATAAGGGCCGGTTAAAAGTGGATATCAGGATCAGAATGAACTTTGTAAAGGGCAAGGAGTAGGTAATAGTAGTGGTGATAAAGACTGCAAGTACCAGCTCTTGGGTTGAACGTAAGTTACTGAAAAATCCAAGTGATATATGTGTGGGACATGGACTGCTTTGGTAGGTTTACTACAAGGATAAAGTAGTCCTAAAGGCCTTAGCAGCAGAAATTCTTCTGGAGAAAGCATCTGACGGTATTAAATCGATTAAAAGGTTTAAATAGGGGATCCACAAGCAGATCCTAGATATAGCAATTGGTAGATAACTATAGATAGTATAGCAAAGCCCTTAATTAGACAATGACTAAAGTTGTATATATGATCAATTGTACTCTCGTTGATATAACAAAGTCAAGAGGTACCTATTCGGCATCCTGATAATTGAACTGAGAAGTTAATAAACTATGCCAGACCCCCAAGTGGTTACCTTAATATTTAAAAAAAAAAATTTTTAAGAGCTTAAGAAATTGGATAATTAGTACTAGTCCAAAAAAAATATTACTAAAAAATACCAATAGCAATTTTTTATA